ATCCATTGCAAAAAATACCACAAAGAGCACACGCGCGCGTTCATGTCAGAATCCTACCGAACACCGTGTGTTTGCAAGCATTTCAACATAAAAACATCAAAAACCCAATGCTTTTTCACAAAAATTGTACAAATTTCCCGCCCGGGCTCTCTTGCTGAAATCATAGGAAAACCGTAGGAATCTTAAGAATTCGGTCAAATCCAGCGATTTCACGTCATCGCGCGGTGCACTCGCGATGCTCTGTCATGGACCCAGGCCGCGAATCCTGTGCAAAAAATGCCACAAAGAGCACACTCGCGCGTTCATGTCAGAATCCTACCGAACACCGTGTGTTTGCAAGCATTTCAACATAAAAACATCAAAAACCCAATGCTTTTTCACAAAAATGCTTTGGGGTGTCCTGTCAGACCGTCGGGCTTCCTCCGGCCACCTCTGGCTTCCTGCGGTGTACCGGGCCATTCTCGACTCGTCTGGCAATGCGTGCGCGGCATTCAACACGCGCTCGCCAGTTCCCGTCGGCAACCGCCATCGCGGCCGCATCAGCTGTACCAAACCGGCTGGCCGGTGTGACTTCGGCCCCCAGTTGTGCCAGCTTTGCTTCTTATGTTGTGGGAGGGCGGGTGGGACTGGGCATGCCATGCTTGACTCGCTCGAGCTGGCTAGCTTGACTCCTACTCCTACTGGTACTACTACTACTACTACTACTACTACCCTACTACTACTACGACTACTACTACTACTACTACTACTACTACTACTACTACTACTACTACTACTACTACTACTACTACTACTACTACTACTACTACTACTACTACTACTACTACTACTACTACTACTACTACTACTACTACTACTACTACTACTACTACTACTACTACTACTACTACTACTACTACTACTACTACTACTACTACTACTACTACTACTACTACTACTACTACTACGACTACGACTACTACTACTACTAACTACTACGACTACGACTACGACTACGACTACTAACTACGACTACTACTACTACTACTACTACTACTACTACTACCATTACTACTACTACCTACCTACCTACCTACCTACCTACCTACCTACCTACCTACCTACCTACCTACCTACCTACCTACTCACCGACCTACCGACCTACCGACCTACCTACCTACCTACCTACCACCTACTACTCTATTACTACTACGACGACTACTACTACTACTACGACGACGACGACTGCTACTACTACTACTACTACTACTACTACTACTACTGCTGCTTCTGCTGCTACTACTACTACTACTACCACTACTACTACAACAACAACTACTACTACTACTACCACCACCACCACCACCACCACCACCACCACCACCACTACTACTACTACTACTACTACTACTACGACTACTACTACTACTCCTACTACTACTACTACTACTACTACTACTACTACTACTAGTACTACTAGTACTACTACTACTAGTACTACTACTAATAATAATAATAATTACAATAATAATAATACTAATAATAATAATAATAATAATAATAATAATTACCACTACTATTGCTACTACTACCACGACCACGACCACGAACACGAACACGATCGTGACCACGACCATTGCTACCACTCTGGTGCGCGTGCTACCACCGATGCTGCGCGATCCACTCGTGCACAGGATTTCTGAATGTTCTGGCAGCCGTCCTTGAAATTCTGCAGTATCCTGAGGTTCTTCTGAGGAGTCTCCTGGAAGCCTTCGTGGATCCTACGAGGAGCCTCTAAGTACCCTCTTGCAAAAGTCTGAGGAGCTTTTTGAAAGCTTCTTCAGATTGCCCTGCGGGGTCTCAGGACCCTTGGAGTTCCTCAAAGCCAACTGCACAATCAGCATCAGATGTATGCGAGGTTCGTTTGCCAGCGGCATGTCGGCTATCGGAAACGAAGAAATAAACGGTCTGTAGTTCATGGACTTCCGCGTCTTTTCAAAGGCCTCAAGGAAGTGTCGGACACATCCCAGCAATCAGAAACGAGATGCCAACTTCTTTGATAACAAACCCTTCCGAGTTTTCTATCTTCCGCCCGGGATCGAACCGTTCTATCAGGGAACAACACCTTCTGCCCGGGAACGAACACCTCTCGCGGCCGAGGGGGGGTGCTCATAGGGGGGAAGGGGGGAAGGGGTATGACGGACGCGGGCCCGTGCCCCCAGTACCCCAGCATAACTATGATGTAGGCGCCGGGCGTCGGAGAGCCCGAGATGCGCGTGGTCACCTCGGCTCCAGTCTTGGCGTGGGGTCTCGTCCCGAGTCGATCCCGCGGGGGCTCCTTGACAGGCGTCTGCGCGCAGGAGCGGGGAACCATGGAGCGAGAGGAGAGGAGAAGGTCGAGAGGATGGTGAATATGCCGAGTTCTCACACGAGGCATGTGAGGACGAGCGGCGAGGTGTCAGCAGGCACCTGGCTGTTTGACATGCCTCCTCGCCCGCAGTGCCCGCGGACCCCGCCGCTCTCACTTCAGCCGCAGCGCAAGGCCGAACAGCCTTCGCCCTATGTGGGCAACGTACATGTACAGGGCGAGCGCCTCAGGTGAGCTCCCCGCCTCCCCTCTGCCTCCTCCTCCTCCCCCGCTCTCCCCCCCCCCCCCTCCTTCCTCTAGCGGGCGCGAGCTGGCCCGGATCAGCGCAGACTCGGCCAAATTCAAAAAACCTGCCACAACCTCCAGGGCCGAGGGCGGTTCCCAAGCGTGGCTCAGCCGAACTCCGGCTCTGCAGGATCCTGCGGGATCCGGCGCTCTGGCTGAGCCCCGCCTTGCGCCGAACCCCACTACGTGCGCCCCGACCTCCCATTTCCCGTCTCCCTCCACTGCCCAGCTCCTGGATCGCACTCCCCAATATTCGGAAGCCGGGCAAGGGCTGCTAAATCCGTGGCTGCCAAAATCGACCTCCGGGAAATTGTCCTCGTCCTTCCGCGAAGAAGCCCGTTGACTGTTTCGCGTGCCGCGCCTCATTCCGGGAAGTTGTTTTTCCTTCCAGGAAGGCCGTTTGAGCAGCCACGATTTTAGCAGCCCTCGCCCAGCTTTCGACTCCCCCCCCCACGCGTCCGAGCGAGCCCTGGGTAAGAGTGACCCTGGGTAAGAGTGACCTTTGGTGCGCGGCTTTTTGGGGGCCGCGGGGAGACCAAACCTGGGCGCGCAAGCCGCTGCTACCGCTTCGTCTTCAGCCATCTGAGGGCCCATCTGTGCCCGCACCAAAGGTCACTCTGGCGAAAGGTCACTCTTACGTCTAGTCGACCCCTCCCCCCAACGCCCCTGCGCGTCCGAGCGAGCCCTCCTCCCGCCGAGTGCGCTGCAGACGCGATCAGCCCGACGGCCGCCCTGGAGCCGGCACGGTGCAGCGTGGTGCAGCCGGGGCCGCCGGGGCCGAGGGCGGCGAGCGCCCGGGGAACTCGTGGGGTCTCAGGAGGAGGAGGAAGAGGAGGAGAAGGAGGAGCTTCACTGCCCGTGGAGGGAAGGGGTCAAAGAGGAAGAATGAGGAAAATGGAGCCGGGCTGAGGTGTCCGTTCCAATGGGGTCCGCAAGCGCAGATGCACCAGTGTGTTGCGTGAGCTACCGCGCGCAACTATAGCGCCAGCGGCCTCAAGAATTGCAGCGGCCAAGCCCATTACTGCATGTGTTGATGTACATGTACATCTATCGATCTGTCTATATATCTATCTATCTATATATCTATATATCTATCTATCTATATATATGTCGATCTATCTATATATCTATCGATCTATCTATCTATCTATATATCTATATATCTATATATCTGTATATCTATATATATCTAGATATATATATATCCATATATCTATACATCTATCTATATATATATACCTACCTACCTACCTATATATATATATATATCTAAATATATATCTATATATCTATCTATCTATGTATCTATCTATATATCTATATATCTATATATCTATCTATCTATCTATCTATCTATCTATCTATCTATATATCTATATATCTATACATATATCTATCTATCTATCTATCTATCTATCTATCTATCATCTATATGTATGTGTATGTACAGGTAATATAGATACGTGTATATATGTATACCTTGCGCATTTGCACTCCGACTATGGCGAACGATTGCGAGTGGAAGGCGGGAGAAAGAACGGCTGCAACATAGAAATGCCCGACTGCAAGCGCGTGTACGACTTACTGCATCTCAGGTAGAGCACGGGGCACTGTGTAATGTCTGTGTTCCAGACGCACTATTGCACGCACGAGTGCGCAAATGTTTGTGGACACCTTCGCAGAAGAATCCTCATCCTGATCTTGCTCGTGGTCGTGCGAGTCCTCATATTCGCGCTCGCGCTCGTTCTCGTGATCACGCTCACACTACTTCTTGATGATGGTGCTCCTCATCTTCAAGATTCTCGCTGTTCCTATCACTGCTGCTGCTCATGATCCTCATCCTTCCTGTCACTCTTCTCCTCCTCTCACTCCTTGTGTTGTTCCTCCTCCTCCTCTTTATCGTTCACTTCGTCCTACTCCTCCTTTTTCCTCGTGCCCCTTCTGCTCTTTCTCCTGCTCCTCCCCGTGCTCGCCCTGCTTCTCCTGCTCCTTATCCTGCCTCCACTGGTGGTGCTGATCAGTTCAGCATTAGTTGCATGATGCTGCAGCTGTTAAGGATTCAGCGTTCACGCCGAAGGAACAAAACATCAAGACAACGAACTTCTTGTAGCCGCCGTGCTGCGTACGCGATTGGGGGAACATGCGGAGCGCAACGTGATTTGCAATCACAAAGGAAGACGCTGATTTCAGCTGAACCTGTCACTGTCACCAGCACGCATGTCATAGAATGCTCCAACGCGAAGGGTGATGGGCTGCAGAACCGCAAGCACAGGATCGATAGTTGGGCAAGGATGTGGGCGAGGGATGCCAAAGAGGACGAGGCCGTGGGAGAGAACTGCGGAAATCTTGGGACGAGCTCCACACAAAGACAAGCCGAACTCCAAACTTTGGGTTCAGGGAGCCTAGAGCACACACAAGAAGCCAACTTGGACACGACCGCAAAACCATTGCGACAAGGCGGCGCTGTCGTTGTTCCGACGTCCTAGCGGTGACAAAATTGCCATGGTTCCACGGTCGTCGCCAGCCCATCAGAGAGGGATAGGGACTTCTTAATCTGCTGATGCTGAAGCTCGCTGGGTGGAGCACCACGTCGACGCCTTCCACATCGAAAGTGCAGCTGGTATTTAACTGGCGACCATCATGCCTGGACCCAGGGTGGCGGATCTTACTGTCGGTGTTGGCCCTGCTGAGGCAGAGAAGCCTTTTGCAAAGCTCAACGACAAGGGCGTCGGCTTGGGCGACATGCCTGGCGAGTTACTGACGGCAGACGGCTCCCGATAACCATGCAAAACATACATTCACTTGAGCAAGCGCATCGTCAGAAGAACAACTTCGCCAATCTGCTGGCGGGGCGGTTTCTGCGACCGGGCAGTCCGCCGATTGCGACAATTTCCGGCCCTTCCGTCCTGACGAGACAGGCAAAGCGGTGATTGAGCACATCGAGGGCGTGTTCACCCCCGTCTACGGTTCCCGAATTCTTCTTGCCAGCACTTGCGATTCCAACAGAAAGGAATCGACCGCCCCTCGCACAAAAGAGAAATAGAGAGAGAGGGATGGACCCGATTGTGAGTCCTGTGGGTTCGCCCTGGTGAGCGCCGTCGTTGTGAGTTGTTTCGAGGGCGGCTAAGAAGCAGACTCGAAGTTATCCCTATCCCTGAGATGGGCAAGCCAACAGCGGTGACAGTCTCCCTCAGGAGCCGAGGGCATCCCTAAGATCGGCATCGAGGTAAGGTGATGCCAGACATGGGGATAGGGATATGTCTCGAACTGGTAAGCCAACGGACACAGTGGGGCATCGTGGAACCGAGCAGCAGAAAGCAGGTCTGTCCTGCGAACGTGGCCAGAATTCGACCCCCAGAAACAGACAGATATGGAGAAAATAGGGTAAGAGGGAGGAGGAGGAGGAGGAGGAGGAGGCGGAGGAGGAGGAGGGGGAGGAGGAGGAGGGAGGAGAGGAGGAGGGAGGGAGGAGGAGGAGGAGGAGGAGGGAGGAGGGAGGAGGAGGAGGAGGAGGAGGAGGAGGAGAGAAGGAGGAGGAGGAGGAGGAGGAGGAGGAGGAGGAGGAGGAGGACCGCGAGGCGGGGAGGAGCGATTCGCAACTGGGGGACGCGCGCGTTGCCGCGTCGACCAGAAGATTTTGTTGGTGAGGAAGGGGGGCGGCCGCGACGCATCCCACATGCTCCTCACACAGCCTGCCAAGCCCAAAACAAAGACCCTGGACTCGCATAGCAAGGCAGATGCATGTGTCACAGAATCGGTGCACCAAGAGGAAAATACAAACGCTCATTCGACTTAGACGAAAAGTCTAGTATTACCGGCACTGACAAAGGAAACAGGTGGCATGGAAAGCTCAACCATGGACTTAGGACGGGCTTTCCTGAGTCCCGTGAATAACCATGAGAACTGGCGGGCGCAAGAGGCCCTCACAAGAGGAGGAGGAGAAGGAGAAAGGAGGAGGAGGAAGGAGGAGGAGGAAGGAGAGGGATGAGAGGGGGAGAGGCACGATCCAACGTACCAGATGCCAGTCCAAGTCTTTTTCAGCGCCGGAAAGAGCGCACCGAGGGTCATCAGAAGTTACCAGAGGAAGAAGAAACACATAACCAGAAGCTTTCGACGCTCCGTGCGGGTTTCTTGGATTTGCGCTGGGACCCCCTCCCTGGCGCGCGGAGCGCGCCAGGGGCGGCGCCAGAGGCGCCGCCAGGGGGCCCCAGTGCAGATCTAAGAAATCCGCGCGGAGCGTCGAAAGTTTATGTTTATGTGGTTATTCTTCCTCTGTTAGCTTGTGATGACCTTCAGTGCGCTCCTTCCGGCGCTGAAAACGACTTTGACTGGGATCTGGTACATTGGCTCGTGCCTCTCCCCCTCTCATCCCTCTCCGTCCTCCCCTTCCTCCTTCCTCCTCTTCCTTCCTCCTCCTCCTCCTCCTCCTCCTTCCTCCTCCTCCTCCTCCTCCTCCTCCTCCTCATTCCTCCTCCTCCTCCTCCTAATCCCTCTCCTTCCTCCTCCTCCTTCCTCCTCCTCCTCCTCCTCCTCCTCCTCTTTACTCCTCCTCCTCTTCTTCGAGCGAATGAGACAGGGCACGCAAAGAGGGGCGCGGAGGCAGGCGGCGGCGGCAGGCAGGCAGGAGAGGAGGGCAGGGCCCCGGGCAGGGGCGGGAGCCCCCTGTCAGCCTTCGGCGAGCGACGGCTGCGGCACTCGGGGGGGGGGGGGGGCGAGGCCCCGAGACGGGCAGGGGAGGCAGAAAAGGGGAGGGGCGAGAGGGGGGAGGAAAACAGGGGAGGACAAGAGGGGGAGGGCAAGAGGGGGAGGACAGGAGGGGAGAGGACGAGAGGACAAGGATAGGGGGGAGGACAAGAGGACAGGAAGGGGGGGGGGACAAGAGGGAGAGGCAGAAGGGGAGGACAGGGGGGGAGAGGGGAACACGGGAGCACGTGCAAACTGCTGGCCTCGCTCGCTGTGCTCCAACCGATGTGCTGCGCATGGCCGAGTCGGCTGCAGGAGCAGGAGGAGGAGGAGGAGGAGGAAGAGAAGAAGGAGGAGGAGGAGGAGGAGGAGGAGGAGGAGAGAGGAGGAGGAGAGAGGAGCAGCAGCGCCTGCTGCAGCAGCGCAGCTCCAGCGGCCGCGACTCATGCGCTTCCCGCTCAGAGGCGCCCCGGACCCGCAGCCTCCCAGACCCGCGGAGCGAGCGGGCGCCTCCCAGCCGTGCACCACCGCGATGGGGTCCTCCCGGCGGTGCGCACGCGCGCGCGCCAAAGGGAGGAGGGGGAGGACGAGGAGGAGGAGGAGGAGGAGGAGGAGGAGGAAAGAGGAGGAGTAAAGAGGAGGAGGAGGAGGAGGAGGAGGAGGAGGAGGAGGAGGAGGAGGGGGAGGGGGCTTGGCTCAAGCACGGGCTCGAAGTGCATCTTGCCAGCAGTGGCGTTCCAGTTTCCCGTCGGCCAGACACCGACAGTTCAGCAGCCATGGGTGGCAACTCGTGGTGGGCATACCAGCAGTACTACCAGCAGCAGCAGCAACGTCGGCGTCAGTACTGCGTCTGTTCAAGTTGTGGAGAATGGCAATATCTGAACAAGGCGCGGAAGAAGATGTTCTGCCTCTGTGGACAGCCGTTCGACCTTCCACTGAGCAAGGGCCAGGACAACAACGGCACCTCAGGCCCCAGCGGCAAGGACAAGGAGCAGCAGGAGAAACCATCTGAGATGAAAGAGATCCTCTCACTTCTCCTCGCAAAACTCACACCCGAGCAGAAGGACGACCTGGGCACCGAGGCTTGCAAGAAGATGCAGGGCTTGATCCAGTCGCCGAAGAAACCACCAGCTGCTGCAGCCACCACAGCCTTGCATGAGGCACGGCGCCTTGAGAAGAAGCAGGAGAACCTCAAGGATACCATCACCGACCTGGAGGCCAAGGTCACAGCCGCGCAGGAGGAGTTCGACACCACGGCCGACCCACGGCCGAGGAGCTCGCGAAGGCCCGCTCCAACTTCGAGGCCGCCAGCGTCGAGGCCACCCGTGGCTGGGGCGGAGGCGCCCCCATGGAGGAAGACATCGAAGAAGGACCAGCCGTTCAACTTCCCAAAGTGCCAGTCGAGCTCCTCAAGTTCATCCAGGGCATGGAGGGGGAGGAAGGCAACAACGCCAAGCAATTCTTCGAGGACCTCGAGAAAGTTCAAGGCCTGCTCCCGAAGACCAAGGCCAAGAAGGCCAAGCCCAAGGCAGCAGCCCAACAACCCGCAGCACCACCCCGTCGTGCTGATGGTGCCGCAGCTGCAGCTGGTGATGACCCAGCCCGTGGGCGTGATCTGGCAGGAGGCGGCAGGACTCATGAGCAGAAGCCCCGCAGCCGCAGTTGCCCGCGCCCTGCAGCAGGGGCCAGGGGGGGGACGGACCCAGGTGAGCGTGGCGATCGGCCACGACCCCCCCCCCCCCCAGGGGCTCATGACAGTTCCACCATCTACCATGCCAATATCACTAATTGGAACAAGAAAGCCAAGTATTCTTTTCAAGCTTCGAGCTTTGGACAACCAGGAATCATCATGCTAGGGGAGACGCATCTGGTTTCAGGACGTTTGGGAGAAGCTAGAAAGTTCATGGGGAAGCTTGGCTACAAGTGCTATCAGTGCCCAGCAGCTCGCACTCCCGCAGGCAGCTCAGGCGGAGTGGGGTTATTCGTGTCAAAGCAGTTTCACTCGCATGCGCGCATCATGAACGGAATAGGGCAGGCCAAACCATTAGTGGGAGGGACTAATTGGACAGCCTGTATAGTCCGTCTGAGTCAGCGCAATTTAGTTCTCATCTCAGTCTACCTACAGTCGGGGGTAGGCTACAATGCTTTCAACAACAAGGTGGCCCGAGAGATCACCATCTTCCTCAAGCAGCTCAAGCTCCCCTTCATCATCGGAGGGGATTTCAACATGACCCCTGAGGAGCTCACCAGCGGGAACCCCTGGGTCTCCAGGATCGAGGGCACCATCAAGGCCCCAGAGATCCACAGTACATGTTCGGGAGGTAGACCCATCGATTTCTTCATCATTAGCAATTTCTTTGGAGACTATTTCAGGGTAGAGACCGACCTCACCAGCCCCTGGAAGCCGCACATCGGCTTGCGGGCGACTTTCCAGACAGACATCATGGTCAGGCAGGGTTGGTTTCAAAAGCGAGCGGGCTCGCTCCAACCGCCATCGGCCCCCGCGGCACCATGGCATCACTACTGGGCGCAGGCTCAGTTGGACTGGCAAGGTCCGCCAGGGATTTCTCATCCTTTAGCCGCCGCCCACTCCTCCCCCGACCTGACCCACCAGTACGCTCGTCTTAGTCAGGCCTTGGAGGGGTGGTGTCTTGGGAGTCCGCCGAGCTGTCCGCCGAGTTTTGGGCGAGCTGAAGGCTTCCAGTGCGAATGGAAAGACATCTGCCCTCCCACTCCCTTCCAGCAGCGTCTACACCCTGCCAGTCACCAATGGGGAGTTCTCCAGCAAAGGGCAAAGGAGAGAGACCAGCTCCACACGATCAAGCCCCGCTCAGAAGGTTTCCAGAGACTCCAGGGGTACATCCGCGACATCGTCAACCAAGGCCTCGCGTGGCCCCCATGGGGCCCTTCAGGACTTCCAGGACCTGATCAAGAAGTACCTTCTTGGGAACCTTCAGGAGGACCAACTCGAAGACGCCCTCTTCCAGCTAGAAGTGACACTCCAGTTTTATGAGAAAGAGGCTCTGCGGCAGCAGGATGCTGCCTTCCAGTCGTGGCTCGAGGACTCCCTCGCCCGCGGCGGCGGCGGCGCCCACCATATCACGATTATCCCAGGCCCCACCCCCGAGGAGGAAAACGATATCTTCATAGATGCCAATGACAACATAGTTACGGACCCCATGCAAGTCTTAGGTCACAAGGGCGAGTTTTGGATGAAGTTCCGGGACCCAGAGGGAAACGAGTTGGAGGTCCCCCCCGAGGCCCAATGGATCCAAGAGATTAGGCAGCAGGCACGGGACTCTTGGGATCAAGACGACCAGTTCACTACCACCCAGGTAGCAGCCGCGCTTAAGTCTTTCCCTGCGAGCTCGGCACCCGGCGCCGACCAGTGGCGCACCGCTGACCTTCGCCGACTACCAGAAGCAGGATTGGAGATCCTAACAGATATAATGAATGATATATGCGGGCTGCAGCAGTACCCAGCCCAATGTCTAATAAACCTCGTGGCCCTCAAGCCCAAGACGGAAATCAGTGACCGACCCATCGCCCTCACCAATGCGCCCTATCGGGTCACCATGAGGCTCTTCAAAGGCCAGATATCCTCCTGGGAAGAAGCTCGGGCTGGTTTCTGGGATGCAGCCATCAAAGGTAGTGATTGTCTACAGGCCGCTCTGGTCAGTGAGGTATTCGCTGAGATCGGAGGGGCACTCCAGGCCAGCATCGTCGAGGGCGTGCTCGACCTCGAAAAGTTGTTCGGCACCATAGATACCCAGAAGCTCTCTCAGAAGGCGCTGCAGTTAGGCTACCCCGTGGTCCCGCTCTCCCTTGGGGTCCTGGTCCACGCCGCTGTCAGGGCCCTCACTACGCCTATCGGGGTCAGCAACCCGCTAACGCCACCCATGTCTATACTTCAAGGATGCGGACAGAGTGCACCATGGACCAGGGCCCTACTCTACGAGGTACTCGAGAGGGCCCACTACCAGATCCCAAGGCCCACCATCAGGACATGGGTGGACGACATAAGAATTCGGATGGTCGGCAGCCCCGACATGTTGAAGGAGACCTTCCCCAGTTGCATCGTGAACCTCTGCCAAGGATTTGCCGAACTAGGTTGCCGTCTCTCGGATAAGTCCGTCGTCTTGGCCAGTTCTCTGGACCCCAGCAAGGCCGTCGCGGGCGCCCTCCCGGACCACGGGATCCGCATCAAGCCCCTCAGCCACACCAGGGACCTCGGGATGGATGCCTCCGTGGGACGCCGTCGGACCCTCAAGGTACGCAGGAAACGCCGCACCCTTGGGCTCCTCAGGGCAAGAAACATCAAGAAGCTGGCCAGGACAACGACCAAGGCTCGCTCGCTTTATCGCACAGGAGCGCAGCCCCAGATGTTATGGGGCATGCAAGGTCACGGGACCTCACCTTCAGAAGTGCTTTTTCTGCGCCGCCAGACCGCATCTGCTTTCGGAGTGTCTAAATCAGGAGCTTGCCTCACCACAGGACTTCACGCACTCAAAGCAGAACCCGCAGAAGTCGATCCCGCGATCTTTCTCAGGAAAAACCTATTTCAGACTTGGTTCAGATTCATCAATAACGAGCTCGGTCTCCTGGGAGGAATCCAAAGAGCATGGCCTCTGCTACGAGACAAGCTTCGTTCGCAGCATCGGTGGCTTCGCGTGAAGTCGCACCTGTCGGCGGTCATCGCCACCCTTCACGACATAGGTTGGGAGCCTACCGCTGCCTGGCAGTGGTCGGACCCCTCAGGCCAGGCTTTCAGTGTGAAGCCGCTCAGCTGGGACCAGCAGCAGCGCTTCCTCTATCACATGCAGTTCCTCCTCTCCATGCGCCTCTGGAGCCTCAACTGCCCCAAGAGCCACAATTCCGCAGGGTTGGAGGAAGGAGGAGATATCACAGCAATGATGCTTTACCCCAGCAGGAACTCAGCAGTCATCAGGAAGCAGAGGAAGAAGATGGAGGAGGAGGAGCTCACCAGGGACCAGAGGGCCACCAAAGAAGAGTACCTCACCAGGCTCGCCTCTTACCCCTCCGCTATGTCTGCCGTTGCCTGTTCCAAGTGCTGGAGTGAGGAGCGCAGATTTGAAGCAGGGCTCCAGGACCGCGCCGACTGCCTACTTTGTGGACAGCCGAATGCGGACGACCTTCACAAGTTCTGGACCTGCCCCGAGCTCCCCTCGCTAGGTTTAGAGGCCATCCAGAAGACCCAAGTTTCAGTACCTCAAGCTGTCCAGGAGTGCCCCCAGAATGCTTGCCTCTGGCTCCGAGGGATTGTACCTGCTAAATGGGCCCTACACGCAGTCCACCAACACATCATGTCCCTTGACGACGACATCCTCAAAACTGGAGTTTTCCAGCAACCGGCCAAGTTCAGCCACACAAACATCCTCATCGGGGCCACCGACGGGAGCGGAGGGGAGCACACCATGGACGCACGCCTCCGAATCTGCGGCTGGGGAGCCGCCCTCTGGTCCTCCTCGATGCAGTTCGTCGGCTCACTCTCAGGAGGGATCCGAGGCCAGCAGTCAGTCCCTCTCGCTGAACTTGCCGCAGTTATCAAGCCACAGGAGGACCCCTAGTCATCGTCACCGACTGCCTCTACGTCATCGAAGGCTTCTTGACAGGACCCAGGGCCCGACATTCTCGTAACCCTCTGGCTTGGAAGAAGTTCTGGACGCATGCCTCAGCCCGTGCCGCATCGCTATTTTTCCAGAAGGTCAGAAGTCACCCGACGGAGGAGGAGGCGGCCAACGAGCCGCCCTGGACGCTCTACGTGAATGAGCCAGTGGATGATATTGCCAGGTGCGCTGCCCGTCGACGGAGCGTACCCCCCGCGCTGGCCCGCCAGATTCAGGGGGCAGACATCAACGCCAACATGATTTGCGACCGTCTCTCGGCAATCCAGACCCACTAGTGGGAATCCAAGGATCAGTTCCCCCAGGAGGACGAGGAGTCGAAGGAGGAGCGTAGGAGAGTGAGAGCCCTTAGAAGTGTACAGGCCCTTCAGGATGCCGTTCTGAATACATATCACTGTCTTTTAGCTGCCCCTGTCGCCCCCGAGTATAATCTAGCTTGCCTGAGGTGTAAGAAGCAAGGTAGTGTCAAAATTCGGATGCCCACTTGGTTAAAGAGACCCTGTAGGCCCCACGTTTTGGCGATGCACCCGTCCCATCAACCCCATTTACAAGTCACCAGCGGTATCTGCTGGTGTAGCCGTTGCGGGGGATGGACTATTCGGGCCCGTAGTAAATTAAAGTCAGCCTGTGAGCCTCCTACAGAAGGGGGGAGGAAAGCAATTCAAAGGTTAGCGCAAGGTCGTTTACCTCCAGGCTTGAGAGCCTGGCCCATGTTCGAGATGCTGCACTCGATGTAGCTCACAGGACGCCCGCGCGCGGCGGGACTCTGTCTTTCCAGGGGAGTTCGCTCGGAGGGGTAGGGGGAGGAGGAGGAGGAGGAGGAGGAGGAGGAGGAGGAGGAGGAGGAGGAGGAGGAGTAAAGAGGAGGAGTCAAGAGGAGGAGGAGGAGGAGGATAAGGAGGAGGAGGAGGAGGCGAAGGATCGTCACTCGGTTTCGCATGTCTGGGCCTCCCTGGGAGGCCCTTGCCGGCCACGGCCGGGTGCGCCGCCGGATCCTGGCCACAGCGAACCCCCAGAGAGGTCTGTGGAGTAGCTGTCTGGGCATCTTTTTGTTTCCCCGCCTCCACTGCCCCTCGCCTGCTCGGACTCACAGCAGGGCCAACCACAGCGGCGGTTGCCGTCCGCCTTCTGGGGGTCATCGCGGTGGGGGTGGGGCGTGCGAAACCGAGTGACGATCCTTCGCCTCCTCCTCCTGATCCTCCTCCTCCTCCTCCTCCTCCTCCACCTCCTCCTCCTCCTCCTCCTCCTTCTCCTCCTCCCCTCCCCCCTCCTTCCCCCTCCCCCCTTTTTCCTTCCTCTGAGGAGGGAGGAGGCGAGGGAAAGGCGAGAGCTGGCACACCCGAGGGGGGTACGAAAAAACACGGGGGTACGCTGCCCCAGCTGAACGTGCAGTCCAAGAACCGACGGCGGCCGCTGCTGGGCAGGCGGCCTCTGTCTCATGCTTGACGACGCCCGCGGCGACGCCGACAACGCCTCGGAAGCGCAAAGAGCACCGACTGCTGCGGCGCGGGGAAACCAAAAGGTACCGATACCACTACGGTGATGGCATTGGACAAGGAAACCTTCGATAAGGAATCCAGGGTCTGGACGCCAGAGGAAAGCCAATCGTGGATCGGCCATGGATGCCACCGCCGCCCTCATCAGATAAGGAACCCTCCAGTGTCTGAAGCCTCCTGGGCACGTTCCTGAACGAACGCCCCCAACGTACTCCCCGGACCTCTCCTGGGGTGCGTTCTGACCAGGATGGCGAGGCGAATCCAGCGGCGGCGACGAGGGCCGCCCAGGAGGCCCAAAGAGGGGAAAACGAGGGAAGGGTAGAGGCATGGGTACCTGTTCCTCCCCCGCCTTCGTGCCCGCGCTCTCGGCTGCGACTCCGGCCGCACCGAGATGGAAGCATGCGGGCCGAGCAGGAGCGCGGCAGGCAGGCGGCGGCGGCAGCCCCGCCTCGGCTTTCAGTCGGGCGTGTCCCTCTCCAGGAGGCATATTCAGAAATAGTCAAAACATCGTCTGGGGACAATTGTTGAAGTACTTGTTTTGATT